AGAGCGAGATGGAGAGATAGAGATAAAGACAGAGAGAGAGGGAGAGAAAGAGATAGAGAGTGAAAGAGATAAAGAGACAGAGGGAGAGATAAAGAGAGATAGATAGAGAGGGAGAGAGAGATAAAGAGAGTGAGAGATGGAGAGATATAGAGAAAGAGAGAGAGGGAGAGAGAGATAAAGATATATAGACAGAGATATACGGAGGGAGAGATAAAGAGAGAGAGATATAAAGGATAAAGAGAAAGATAAAAGAGATAAAGATAGAGATGGAGAGAGAGACAGAGAGTGAGAGAGAGATAAAGAGAGAGAGAGAGGGAGAAAGAGAAAGGGAACAACCTCATGAGGACTAGCACCCACCGAGGCCGCCCAGCTGGGTCATGAAAGGACAGCCGAGGCTCAGAGGGGACCCCCCCTCGAGATCCCCCAGACCCCCCCTCAGCTGCAAAGGCTCCCCTCCCCCCTCCCCCCGCGGGAGGGGGCGGGGCGGGGGGCGGGGCACCTTGAGGTTGACCCTCAGGACGGCCTCGAAGGCGGCCTCGCTCAGCCGCAGCAGGAACTCGTCGCGCGTGACCCCCGCGCAGTTCACGCAGACCGTCGGGGGCCGGGAGAAGTGCGCCTGCGCGGAAGGAGGAGGGGAGGGGTGGGCGGGTTAGGCGCGGCGGCGGGGGGGAGGAGCCCCCTCGGGCCCCGCCCCCTCCCCCCTCCCAGCCCACCTGCAGCCCCCGCAGCAGCTCCTCCACGCTCCGGGCGCAGCCCACGTCCACCCGCGCCGCCCGGTGCTCCCCCGCCGGCAGCGCCCGCAGCGTCTCCCCCGCCCCGGCCTCGTCCACGTCCGCCACGGCCACCGAGGCGCCTTCCCGGGCCAGGCGGAGGCTCACCGCCCGCCCGATGCCGCTGCCGGCCCCTGCGGGGGGGGGGAAACAACAGCCGTCAGGCCCCGCCCACCGCCGGCCTGGCCACGCCCCCCGCCCCCCGCACGCTTCCCCCCCCGCCCGCACCGGTGACCAGCGCCAGCACCCCGCGGAGCCTGAGCTGCGCCGCCATGGCCGGAAGCCCCTTCCGGGAAGCGGAGGGCGCTCTAGGCGGCGCTCTCGGTGGCCCCGGTCCTCCAAACGCCAAAGCCAAGGGCGCGCAGGCGCAGACGGAGGAGGCCGCTTCTCCCGCCCGGGTTCCCCCCTCCCCTTTGGTGCGTGGGTGCCCACTTTCTCTGGGGGGGGGCAGGAGGGGATCAACAGCTGGCGCAGCTGCTGCCTGAGCACCTGGGGCAGGCACACACACACAGTACACAACACACACGGTTCCTGGAGCAGAAACCTGGGGCAGGCAGACACACACACAGTACACAACACACACGGTTCCTGGAGCAGAAACCTGGGGCAGGCAGACACACACACACAACAAACAAACGGGGTCCCCTGCCCCGAGCAGGCAAAGGGGGTCCCCCAGGGGCACTTTGGAAAGACCGACCCCCCCAAAGACACACAAGACTTGACCTTCAGTGGGGCTGCCCAACGCAACACAGAGCACGGAGTTTGCGTTAACTCCAGGAAGTGTCGTGGGAATGCACCTGGAGGGAGATGCACAAGGGAAGCCGCACTAGATTCCCCCCCTATCCGAGGCCGGGTGGCTTCCCGGGGAGTCCTCGGCTTACGACCACGACTGAGCCCAAAACATGTCTTTCGGTGGGATGTTTCGTAAGCGTTACCCCGTTTTACGACTTCGCTCACCGCAGTTGAGTAGCGTAGTTGCTTCCCTGTCTAATTGTGCTCGTCAGAAAGTCGCAAACGGGGATCGCGTGACACCCCCACCCCCGTCGAGACGCTGCAACCGTCATAAACACAAACCGGTTGCCAAGCGCCCGAATTTTGATCACGGGACCGAAGGTGGCGTGAAAAAGTCGCGAATCGCTTTTTTCCCCCAGTGCCGCTGTAACTTCAAAGGGTCGCTAAATGAACCGTCGTAAAGTCGGGGACTGCCTGTATTGCGGAAGTTATTCCCTTCCGAGGCCCAATGGCTCCTTCCCCGACCGGACCGGCCGAGCGGAGAGGCGAGGGCCCTCGTGGGGACAACTCAAAGCCTGGCAAGGCACGGATCGAGTTCGGGTTCCTTCTGCAACCGTGGGACCCTGGAGGCCTTCTAGTCCAACCCCGCTCTCGGGCGTGATGGGAACGCACCCCCAGAGGAATGGGCGCGGAAGGCTGTGAGAAACGAGTGCCCAGCAACCCCCACCTGGAGCTGAATTGTGGGCAGAGGAGGGGGGCTGCCCGCATCCGGAGTGCAAGGAGGACAGGACCACCTCTTTGGAGTCTGGATGTGTTTATTGCAGATTCCCTTCCCTCCCTCCCTCTCCCTCCCTCCCGGAAACGCAGCCGGGTCCTCCCCCTCCTCCTCTGAAGTGACCGGCAACGGAAAAGCCACGTCTCCTTAGATAAGAGGCCGGAAGTCCCTTGGCTGCTTTCCAGCTGGCACCCAACGCCTTCCGGTCACGAGTCTCGCCCCGATTTCAGCCCAACGTCGTATAAAAAAAAGATATGAAACGCACGCCGGAGTCTCTCTTCCCATTCAGCTCACACTCGCACACACACACCCGCACGTCAGCCGGCTCCCCTGAAAGCATGATTCTCCTTCGTTGTGTGTGTGTGTGTGTGTGTCCGTGTCCCCCGCCACCAGCCCTTTCCTCGGCCCCTCGGCCGCGACAAGCCAGAGCACGGGACCTGCACCGTGCTGGAGAAAGAAGGGAGGAGGGCAGGCTGTGCAAATCTTCTCCATGGAATTTCAAGAAGTACCCGAACACCTCTTACACTCACACACCACCTCTCTCTCTCTCTCTCTCTCTCTCTCTCTCTCTCACACACACACACAAACACGTGCAGTGCAGGTGTGCACCGATTCCCAGGGTACCCCGTGGAAAACCCGGAGACAGACAAGTTGGTCCCCTTGGACGGCCAGATCCGTTTCCTGCTCAGGAGGACGGGAAGGGCCGGGCCTTCCGTGGAGTCCTCTGGAGCAACAGGAGGGGGGGGAGAGGGGGTCCCCCACTCGGGCAGGGGCGGCTCCTTCCAGCGGCCTTCGCTCCCCCCCTCCGCCAACGCCACACAGCTCCGCCTGCTCTCTCTACTCATATCGGGCGATGAAGACCATCATGACTACGCCGCCCAGCAGGCTGAGCACCTCCAGCAAGGACTGGGCCGGCCGCGCCTCCTGCAGGAGCTCGGGGATGACGGAGACAGTGGCTACGTAGATGAAGCCGCCGGCCGTGAAGGGCAGGATCCAGGCGGTGGCGGCCTCGCCCACGCCTTCCGCCAGCAGGGAGCAGACGGTGCCCGCCAGCGCCCCCAGGGCCGTCACCAGCTGCAGCTTCATGGCCTGGGCGGGAGAGGGAGACGGCTCAGCTGAGGCCTGGGGGGGGACCCCTCCTCTCCTTTCACCCTCAGCCACCTCCCCACCCTCCCAGGGTCTCTCCCCCCTCCATGTACGGAACGGCTTGTCGGTCTCTGGGCCAGGAGACGGAGGTCAAGCCGGACCCGCGAGAGAAGCCCCCCCTTCCCTGCCCACCTTGCGCTTCGTGCAGCCGGACTGGACCAGGATGGCGAAGTCGCCCACTTCGTGGGGGACCTCGTGGAGCAGGACGGTCAGGGTGGTGACGGCGCCCACGGCGCTGCCCGCCACGAAGGAGGCGCCCAAGGCCAGCCCGTCGGTGAAATTGTGGGCAAAGTCGGCGGCCAGGTTGAGGTAGCCGGCCACACGCATGGCTGGTGGGCGGGAGAGCGGAAGGAAGCAGAGGTCAGTAGGGGTGATCCCGCCAGAGAGGTCCAGCCCAGCCCCCTCCCCTTTCCCGATCCCCGGAGCCCCTTACTGGACTCTGGAGGCGCCTCTGTCTTCCTGGCGGGGGCTGCCGCTTTCCCGGCCGGCCCTGGGACCCCCTCCTTCTCCCCTTCGTCATCGCTGCCCTTGGCCTTGGCCCCTGCAGGAGAGACGGAGGAAGAGTGTGGGGCTGCCTGGTGGGTCCCGCCTCTGTGCCCCAAACTTCCCGGTGGAGACACAGCCCAGGGGGCCTCTTCCCGCCCGGAGAGAGAGAGAGCCCGGAGCTGCTATGGGGGGGTACCCGTTCCAGAGGGATCCCCCTCCCCGTCCCGGAGGCCCCTCCGCAGCTCCGAGTCCTTAGCGCCAAGCGGGGTCACCAGAGGGAGCAGCCGGGGAGCCGGCCTGGACAGACGTACCATGAGTGCGTCCGTGGCTGTGCCCGTGTCCCCCTTTGACGTGTCGGACAAACTTCTCCACCACCAGGAAGGCCACGACGCCGCTCAGGACCCAGAGGCCGACGGCCATCGTGTGCTGGTGCTCGGGACCTGGCGGGGGGGCAGGAGAGGCAGAGGTGGCACAGGGGAGCCCGGCTGGGAAGGGACTACCCCCCCTCCCCCAGGGGGCCGGCAGACCTGACCCGGGTGCTGTACGCCGTGCGAGCCCAGCCCTCCAGGAAGAACAGCTGGGTCACGCCGTGCGCCTGCTTTGCAGAGAGGAGGAGGAGGATGGAGGGGGGGCTTCTCTTTAAGGATCCCTCCCCCCCCTCCAAAAAGCTCGGCTCCGTTCGTCCCCCAGTTAGGCCGCCTGGGAGAAAGGCGTCCAGGCCACCCACTTTAGGGAAGCCCCCAGGAAAGGGGGCTGGAGTTCTCCCCCTCCTGTCGGTCCCCAGGATTCGGCCTCTCCCCTTACCTTGGTGGGAATGGCCGTGGCCGGAGTGCTTGGCGTGGGAATGGCCGTGGCCGCCAGCTTCTCCGTGAGGGCCGTGTGGCTCTGCGGGGGGGGGGAGAAGAAGCACAGGGTGTGGGAGGGAGACACCTCTCGGCCTGGGGGGAGGGGGCCGCTTGGGCAGCCCCCGAGAGGGGGGAGGGAAGGGCCCCGTGGGGCAGGGTTAGGGTTAGCGGGGGGACTCACTCACCCAGGGCGTGGGGGATGAGGTGCAGGAAGGCGTCCCCCAGCAGGCCCCCGGAGGCGAAGCTGAGCAGCAGCTTGAGCAGGGCCTGGTGCTGGGGACTGTTGGACTCCACGGGGATCAGGAAGAGGATGAGGTAGGGGGCGGCGCTGATCAGGAGGGTCGCCCCCAGAGCCTGGAAGGGGGGCGGTATGGGGGGGGAAAGGGGGCAGAGAGCAGGGTGGGTGTCAGCCACGGAGAGCAGCCCCCCCCTCCCTGGAGGGCAGGGGTCCCACCAACCTGAGCCTGCACGCAAAGGGGAAGCCCCCCCGCCCCACTCCAGGACACCCCAATTCCTTGCAGCACACAGGGTTCC